ATCAAGCGTTAGAAATCCTTTCCTCAGCAAAGGCCAAACAATCTGCTCGAATACAGAGATGGGCATTGCGCCTCCAGCAGTATAACTACACGGTCAAGTATCGTCCAGGGACAGGGAATCCGGCAGATTTCCTTTCGCGGGCACCAATTAACGAGCCCTCGGGACAGTCTATTGCCGAAGAATATATTAACTTCATAACAGAGCAAGCCATTCCCAGAACAATTACCTGGTCAGAGGTGCAAGAAGCGACAAAGAACGATAAGGAACGGCAGTCAGTTGGACGAGCACTTCAGTTTGCCAAATGGAAAGACAAATCCATATCAGCTTATTTTGCAGTACGGCATGAAATAACATAAGTAAGGGGTGTACTGTTGAGAGGACACCGACTGATTATACCAATATCACTTCGAAATAGAACTCTAGCCCTGGCACACAGGGGACATTTGGGAATTGTCAAGACCAAACAAAATTTGAGAACCAAGGTATGGTGGCCTAGATTAGATAAAGAAGCAGAACAACATGTAAAGGAGTGTTTGACGTGCCAAATATCTGGTAATCCTGAACCCCCTCCGCCTCTAGCAGTTGTCCCACCTCCAACGGCACCATGGTCATGTATTCATGTTGATTTCTATGGACCAGCACCTACAGAAGAGCATCTATTGGTGCTGTTAGATGAAACAACCGGATTCCCAGAAGTTGAGATTATGAATAAAACCACAGCTTTTCATACAATACGAGCGTTTGAAAAAGTTTTCGCCCGACACGGACTGCCAGACACAATTAAGAGCGATAATGGGTCGCCGTTCCAGTCCAAGGAAGTTAAGGACTATCTGACAACACAAGGCATCCACCATCACCGTGTAACACCTTTATGGCCCCAGGCCAATGGAAAAGTGGAAGGCTTCATGAAACGTATGGGTAAAGCTATTCGAGCGGCTTGGGCAGAGGGTCGAGATTGGCAAAGAGAACTATTCGCATTTTTGATGAATTATCGTACTACGCCGCACCTATCTACAGGTGTGGCGCCAGCCGAGATGCTTTACAAACGAGTAATTCGATCTACCGTTCCGTCTTTCTCTCAGGCACCTGCCAATACAGCTGTAGAAAGGGTTTTGAAAGGAAAGGCTAAGTCAGAACAATATGTAGATACCAGAAGACGTACACGAAAGTCAACGATGAAGGAAGTAGATACAGTGTTGGTGAAACAGGAAAAGAAGAGCAAGTATACCACCATGTTTCGTCCTCAACCATACAAAGTTATCAATGTGCGATATTCCAGAGTAACAGCGCAAAGGGGTGATCATGTGATTACAAGAAACGTTTCGCATTTTAAGAAATTTAGTGGAGCGTATAGAGAAACTGTTCCAAATCCTGAGTCAGAAGATGATATTACCATTGCGGCCCCACAAGCAGGACAGGACAATGATCAAGACATAATTGAAGATATACCGAATAATTGAAGATATACTGCAATATACCGAATAATGCCGTTGGCCTCAGTAATTATCTATTAAATTCACACGCCTCCCGCTTTAAAAGGATAATTTAAAATATGTTCCTTTTTAGTTTTAAACGTTAGAAAACTTTTAAGTATTGCTAAGCCACCCATCTGATGTATTTTTCTGTTTGTTTCACTTGTCAGTTAAATGATTAAAATTGCCTTGTTTTTGTAATTTGTTTGCAATTTGGCATTTAAATTCCTCGCCATTTTTTCTAGTACACGCGCATGCGCAGACGTTCTTCCGAGGTTTTATTGTTACCTATACATACAAGTTAATTCGACTCTACCAGTTTGTTTTTAATCCTAACGTTTTTAGCTATCAACTTTTCCGTGTGAAGCTGAAGCCAGCTTCTATTTTACAATAATTTAAATCTAACAATTAAGTTTATTTTTCCATATCAATTTTCCTGATTTGAACATAAACTAACATACATGCAATCTTTACGTATGGTTGGTGGTAGTATGCATGATCATGATCAAATAATTATTGTAATTGTATAACAACTGTATTCAAAACATGCCTGATGTTTGTGATTCCTTGACGAAAAAGACTCTTCAGTTTTACATATTTACTGAAAAATATTCTATCTAGAAAATTCTTTTATGTGGGCAATTATGAGCGATAATTACAAGATAAATCCAGACGAATTTTAGTTAATTTTTTACAGGTTCTTAGATGATCTTTTAATTCCATGTACCCACGCTTTTTGCGTCTTGTTATCTTTCAATAATTTTCCTTGCTGCGTTTTTATCGCCACGGTAACCTTGCTGACGTCAGTTGGGCAGGCAAATGTATATGAATAGCCGGTCAGCAGAATAACGGAAAGTACCCTTCTGCTTGGCAAAAACATTGAGCATCGCGGTAAATCTCGTGGTATCACAATTATACCCTCTGAGCAGAGCCTGATTTCCCCGATAATTATAAGTAATAGCATGGCTTGAGGGAGATTACAGGTTAAATGACCCGGTAACCCGAGGCAGGTTGGTGAAATCCCGAGTTAAAAAGTGAAAAACATGTCTTAAACCAATATAATATAGTAAGGGGTCGTTATACAAGCAAAGATTGGCTAATTAAAAGAAGGAAACCAGGCTTAAGAAATCCAACATTTCAAACACAAAACGGCTTCCCGAATTGTTTCTAAATAAAGTTTACGTTAAAAAGCCGAATAAAAATGCACGCAAAAGAATCCGAATGTCGTTAAAATCTTTAAAATATCTGGAAAAATAAAGAGGCAAACTAGTTCCATCATCTAGTATACATAGACAAAAGTTAAGATGACAATTTTATCGAAAAACTGGATTAAAAAGGCTCGAAAAAGGCGAAAAACATACTCGGCCAAAATCTTGACATTTACACGAAAAAACAAAAAATAATAGCTAAATACACGAACTCGTTTTTTTTACCGTATGTGTCAGCAGTTTTCAAGAGTCTTTGTTTGTGTGTAATCCATGCAGAACCAAAATTAGGCCATTTTGATAAGTTTTTTTTCCATTTACCCTTGCGCCCTTCCACGCTTGGTGCTACTAGTAGGCTATCACTAATAGCCTATACTAGTAGCGTAGCCAATCAGAACGCACGAAATATGATAGCGTACTAATAAGTTTATACTAAATACGTATAGCCGCACGTGCATTACACGCGTCAAGCATGGAGCTCCTTTACGGAGCAAGAGAGTGAGGAGTCAAAAGACGCCGTGGCTTACTGATACAATAAAACTCGATATGAATCGTAGAGACTATCTTTAGAAAACAGCGGTAAAAAATAATTCTTTGTGGTATCATAATCTTATAAGGCTCTACGTAATAAGATAAACAAAGATGTTATTTGCGCTGAAAGGAAACATTATGTAAAATCAATTGAGGAAAACATGGAAAACCCTAAACTTATGTGGAAACACTTGAATTGTCTGCTAAATAGAAAGTCTAAACGTAGTGGTGTACAAGCCATTAAAACTGACGAGGGAGACGTTGTAGAGAGCCAGACAATAGCGAGCTGTTTATTGAGTATTTTTCTAATATTGGTCCAACCTTATCAAACCAAATAACAAGCATAAGTAGCCAGGGTTTTGAAAGTTACATGACGCATGAAGCTTCTGGAATATTTGAATTTGCAACTGTTGATAGCACAATTGTACTTAATGAACTGGAAAAGTTAAACTCGTCTAAATCGACATGCCCAGATAATATCCCAGTTAAACTGTTAAAAGACTCCAAAGAGACAATTGCACCTTTCCCAACTGGCATACATATTTAATACTTCCCTATGTAGTGGGATATTTTTATAAAGAAGGTGATAAAAAAGAAAGGGGTAATTATAGACCGATATCTGTTCTTTCAACTGTCGCTTAACTATTTGAGAAGCTCGTATGCATACAGATTACAGATTACAGTTAACAGATTATCTAAATGCAAATGACATTCTAAGCCCGTGTCAGTCAGGCTTCTGTCAGAACCACTCAACAATGTCGTCCTTGTTGTCAAATAGCGATTCATGGCTAGTCAATATGGATGCTGGGCTTGTAAACGGAGTTGTATTTCTTGATCTGCGTAAAGCATTTGATACGGTTGATCATGAAATCCTCATTAATTTACTCTTTTACATCACAAGCCAGTCTCGTCATCCGCTAGAGGATGACGGGGAGAAATTTCATATCTTCGGTTCAGTGCATGCTATGAAGACAGAAATACGACCATTCGATTCAGAAATAAAAGATTCAACTAATTCCTCTGTATAGTTATGGTCATTATCAACATTGTAGCGATTTATGGGCCTTTGAAAGTCAAACACGATAATATTGTATCAAATTACGCAATTGTCTGAACAAAAATATAGACTAGCCATACCTTTCGAACATATCGTCTTTGTAATAGTCTTGTTCGAATCCCCATCAAAAACACTATTTAGGGTGTTATTTGCAAGCCGGTATCTTCAAATCTGTATCTTTTTGCTGCCGAAGGCAGCACACTATTCTTAACATGAAGTATTGCGTTTACGTGTGGCCAGTCTCTTTGGCCGAGTTATGTATAGCCGAACGACAACTCGATTTTATTTGCAATGTACGAATGTTTGGATGTTTGGATGATCAGATTTATGACGTATTTTGACGTCACAGAAATTTTACAGTAAAAATAACATACTCCAGATCGCGATTTGACTTTCCGAATACCCTGGTTGAACCTCACGAACACCACCATGGACCATGACAATTTGTATGACTCGTTCTCGTTGCAAATTTTTGTATGTCTCAATGTCTGGCTCTCTGGCTGCTTATCGAAATATTTTTCAAGGTAAGATATACGTTTGATCACAAATAACAATGTGTTTTGGTCGAAGTATTTTACCCGTTGAAACTTGAAACGAATGAATTAACTGTAGTTAAATTATTAAATTTTTAGGTGCATACAAGTTTTCATATAATTATAAACAAGTGGAGCTCGTCGTCGTCGTCGATCGTCAGTTTGTAACCGAGAAAAAATCTGATTGAGCTTGATTGAGCATCGTTCTTCAAGGTATAAATAATCAGAGTGATAGTTTATTATTAATATTATTATATGGGAATATCAATTGAGCAGTATGCCAGTATCGTGCCTGTATTGGAACACACAATTGTATACCAATGAAAAATTATCTGACTTGTACAAGATATTCCTATAGCGACCCAGTGTGGATTGTTGTCTGCACATATTATTAAACTTTCCAGCAGTTACATGTAATAACATGTCAACCGACTTTTGTAAAAGGCATATGACGGTCCATAAAAATATATCTCTGAGATACGTCCATTGTTAGCATAATATGAAATAATCCTACCAGCCTACATTTATATAGGGGCCGATTACATGGAAAACTTTCAACCCCGGGGTTGAACTCAGCCCTGTTAACCGGGTTGAATTTTTTTGCGATTACATGGACGATTTTAACCCTGGGGTTGAAACGCTATACTACATGTTCTCGGCATCGATTCCCGAGATTTAAGTAAAAAAGCCCTCATTTTGTCTTCTTGTAATAAATAGTCACCACCACGCATGCTCGAATAAGTCATGATAATTTTAGCCCTGGGTCAAAAAGATTACATGACAAAATTGTGCTAGCTGAAGCAGGGTTGAAATTTCAACCCCGGGGTTGAACTCAGCCCTGGGTGGAAAATTTTGTCATGTAATCGTGTGTTTGATTTTGATAGAGTTTTGTATCACAGACAGGGCTGAAATTTCAACCCAGTAGACAGGGCTGAGTTCAACCTTAGGGTTGAAAATGCTCCATGTAATTGGCCCCTCCTGAAGGGTATACTTTATTTTTTGATAATGCTCACAATTGTATGATATAGTTTTGCTGTTCTGACTGAGTACAATCTTAATCATTACAAATATGAATGGTGTCATCAGAAGCTGACGTATGGAACAAAACTGTTAACAAAAGATTTTGTCTCCCCATCAAGCATCAGCAGATTGTTCAGTTGTTTTGCAATAGGGCCATTATTGCAATAAAACAATAATTGGGACAAAAACTGACTTAATATTTCTATATATGGAATTGTTATTAAATTCTACATGTCCAGTGATTCATTCAAGTATCATTATTGTTTATATATATTGATATGATTTTGTACAGTATCCAGTGGCAAGCTAGCTACCATGGCAACTGGTCATGCCATGCCAATAAACCTGCATCTATTTGAATAATGCAAATCATTAAAAGCTTGCATAGCATGACCTGTTGCAATGGCTAGCTTCACCACTGACAGTATTATAACTATACATACAAAAGCAGGAAGTTATAAGCATTGGATGTATTCATATACACTGCCCATGCCAAGAAAGTAGAATTAGAATATTTAGCTGCCTTTCTACCTTGTTGCCTTTCTACCTTGTGCAACGTGCTTGATATTGAAATTGCACTTTTCCTACCTCCTGAACAGGTGTAGACCTTAGAGACTGTTTACATGATGGAATGTGGGATGA